CTTCCAACCCAGCTTCTCAATATCCTCATTCTCAGCTTTACTTTTTTCGCTAGTGCTTATTATTGCCTGAAATTCTATACGTTTTAGTTATAGGTTTTATATATATATATATGTATAATTTTTATTTATTTATTTTTTTTAAAATTTGAGACAGAGTCTTGCTCTGTCGCCCAGGCTGGAGTGCAGTGGCATGATCTCGGCTCACTGCAACCTCCACCTCCCAGGTTTAAGTGATTCTCCTGCCTCAACCTCCTGAATAGTTGGAACTACAGGTGCCCACCACCACGCCCAGCTAATTTTTGTTTATAGTAGAGATAGAGTTTCACTATGTTGGCCAGGCTGGTCTTGTACTCCTGATCTCAGGGAATCTGCCTGCCTCAGCCTCTCAAAGTGCTGGGATTACATGCATGAGTCACCACACCCGGCCTGTTTTAATTATATTTTTATTATCATCTGTTGCCCTCCTAAAATATAACTTCAATGATAAAGAGATACATATACATGAGATATGTATGAGAAATATAAACTCCATGAGGAATATTATATATATGTATAATATGCTTTTAGAGTTCTGGTAGATATCTATGTTTATAGATATAGACCTGTATCTATCATTCTATATCTATACTGTCTGTACTGTTTTGTCATTAGAAGAGCACAAATTCAATATAAACTTGATCAATGACTAAATAGACAAACGAACCTTATAACTTGGGGAAGGGAGTTTAAGAATCTCTGCTATATGCTTCACAAGCCTTTTCTCAGGATTGCTGAATCACCAGAGAGCAATATACCCTTTTATCTCAGCTCCCTGAAGAAATGCCTTTAGTGAAATATGATTAAATGTTATGCCCTTAGCTTTTAGAGAAATGTCTATTTGAACAGTGATTTTGTCTTTTGTTATTCCATGATCCCAATTTAAAAACCTTGGCAATAAATTCGTCCTTGAATTTAGTGCCAAAGAGTTTGTCTCTTCAGTCTAAATTATGTTCTTCTGGCCAGAAAATGAGAATAAAACATACCTAGCAATCTCCCTTTGTACTTTAGCTTCCTTGAAATTCAATTCAGTTCAGTTCCTTGCAGTAGTAATTATCGAGGCTGAGGTATATTGTAATATACATTACTCTACTGGTTTTAATTAGATTCTGTCCTTGAATTATACAATTTCATATTGCAAATAATTTTATAGGCTTTTAAATATCACTTTGAGAATAGGCAAGTTATAACTTCAAATTAATAAACAGTTAACCAAGACTGTTGTGTGTATATAGTTTGCAATTCAAAAAGAAGTTATTTTATTTTCAGTTAAAAAAGTGATAAGGCCAATATGAGACATTCTGGTATCTTCTGAGAAAATTTTATAATTTTGGCAATGTGATTTTAAGGATAATGTAGACACGTTATTTCTTATGTCATAGAAATTATTTTTAAATATTTGGGCATTAATCATAGGCATCATAAGTTAATATACCTCTGCATTTTTTTTTCCATTTCTATGAGAAAATTCACTTACAGATATAATGGAGTCCAAGAAAATATCTGGTGGAGGACAAAAATTCTATTAATTTTGACTTCTTGAAGATATTGAGACTTAAATTCTAACACTAGCTTCCAGCAATATGTTTGGTATATGCCCATTGAGGAATTTGGTGTATCTTATAATTTTCAAGGGAAAAAGATAAATGTAAAGGAAGCTAATATTTTTTGATAGCCCCTAGCACGTGACATGATAACAGTATCTGACTTACTCCTCATAGTGATCCTACAAGGTAGTTATTATCATCCCCACTTACAAAAAGGTGATTTTGAGGTTCAAGAAAGGTTAGATAAACTTGCTCTAGATTACCCAGCTTTTAACAGACATAGCCAGGATTCGCATTCAAGAATACTGAGGCCCAGTGTTTTGATTCTTTCCCATCAGCTGCTCTAAAAAGCCTTGTAATTCTATTTGCTGAGTTCTTTTTTTTTTTTTTTTTTAATTTGGAATGATGTATTTGAGAGTATTTTGTTACAGATCATTAACCGTATGTAGAAACTATCTTTAACATTGAATTTGTTTTTTGTTTGCAGTGTTTCCTCTCTTAAGGCTTTCTCCTACCCCGGCAGATGACTACAACTTTAATTTAGATGATAATGAAGGAGTTTGTGATCTGTTTGATGTCCAGATACTAAATTATTAGATTCCGTGGAAACTTGGGACCTCTAACTGTGTAACATTTTAGACTTCTTAATAACCTAAGTATTTAAAATAATCAATGTAACACCTTTTTTAGTTCACTGATTTTGAAGTGTTCTTCCCTAATACTTTCTTTACTTCACAAAACTTCAACCATAAAAACAAAGGGCTCTGATTGCTTTAGAGGATAAGTGATTTAATATCCACAAACCTCCCCACTCCCAAAAGTAACTATATTCTGGATTTCAACTTTTCTTCTAATTGTGAATCCTTCTGTTTTTTCTTCTTATAAGAGGAAAGTTAAAGGACACTACAGGTCATCAAAAACAAGTTGGCCAAGGGCTCATTACTTGTTTGTCTTATATTTTTACTGCCACGAAACTGCCTGTATTTCTGTATGTCCTTCTATCCAAACAGACATTCACTGCCACTTGTAAAGTGAAGGATGTAAATGAGGATATATAACTGTTTCAGTGAACAGATTTTGTGAAGTGCCTTCTCTTTTAGCACTTTAAGTTTATCACATTTCATTGACTTCTGACATTCCACTTTCCTAGGTTATAGGAAAGATCTGTTTATGTAGTTTGTTTTTAAAATGTGCCAATGCCTGTACATTAACAAGATTTTTAAAAATAAAATTGTATAAAACATTTAATTTATTGGTCTTTGTGGAGAATTTGATGCATCACCACTATATTACAACAGAGCCATTAATTTTGTAGCTTCATCAACATTAACTGGTTTGCTTTCGTGATGCTGCTGAGGAATCAATTCTTTCTGCAGAGGTTCAACTGAAGGGCCTTTTGAGAAATGTGCAAGTTCCTTTTGTACATTTACAAAAGCTTTATTTACTCTGTTAACTTTTTCATCATTCATAATATTTATCTTCTTAAGATGAGTGGTAACTGGTTTTGCTTTGTTTTTAGCCTTAAAGTTTTTTTGGCTGGCTATGTGAAATACATTCCTGGACTTCGGCCCTCTTAATTTGTTCTTGCCCATTGTCAGAAATTTAATACTTGCGTGCAGCTTCCTAAGCTCCAGGAGACACCATCTCTGGGTTCTTATATTACATAGTGAAGTGACAAGTTGTAGCAAAAAAAAAAAAAAAAGAAAGAAAGAAAAAAGAAAGAGAGGAAGAGAGAGAGAGAGACAGAGAGAGAAAAGAAGGAAGGAAGGGTAGAAGGGAGGAGAAAGGAACGGTGGAAAAGATGAAGGAAAAAGAAAAGGAAAAAGGAAGAGGAGGAAGGAAGGAAGGAAGGAAGGAAGGAAGGAAGGAAAATGTATGTCTCAAAAGGAGTTTGTTAGCTGTGCTAGAACAGGGTTTCCAGGAATGGATAATATTCTATCTCACGGGCAGGGTATATAGAGAATATGAGAGAGAATACAATGTGCTAGTAACATCAGGCAATTATAAGAATATTCGATTTTCTCCTTTGATTTCATTGAACTGTTCATTCTGTGTTTAAAAAAATAAACTTCTGTAAACTGACAAAATTTGGTAATATATACTAGTTTTATAAAGCTAATTACATACCTTACAGAATCTAAAGACAAAACTGAAGCCATTCCTATGGATAGACAAACACATTCCTGAAAATACCCAAAGCTTTTTATATAATGGGTCTCTTTGAGAATTAGATGAAAGCTCTGGACACCTGATCATTTATGCACATGTACAGTTTTTACACACACACACACACACACACACACACACACACACACATAATCCATACAATTCCAGAGGCTTCACCTATATCTGATACCCATCCAAGGAAGTTAAGACTGCTGGACTAACAGCAGAGAAGTAAGTTAACTGGTCATCACAGCAAAGGTGACCAGGCTTTCTACGCAGTATGGACCTTTTGAACTAAATCCTCCATTCCTTTCTTTTTGGTATTCCTTCTTTCATACCATAAAATCCTTTAGGTTCATTTTAAACATTTTGATATAACAAATGACTTTTCTTCAAAAGCAACATCCCTAGATGGCAACTAGTTCTTGTTATTTCAAAATTACACAGGATTGGCCTTTGTTTCACAGCTGCTGTAACCTGAAGTCCCTTACTTGGCAGAGTCCTAACATCGGTCCCAGGCATCCTTCCTGTGTGTCTTAGCCTACAGCCATGCCCTATAGCTGGATTTAGTGACCAGTACTTGTGAAAGTTCTTATCAAAGTGTGATTCTTGTCAACAGCATAACAATTTGCTCCCAGAATATTCTCTTATGTGACTGTTTCTCTTTCTTAACACTCAGTATTCTTTCACTAGTTCCATCCAAAAGACTGCCTAGAAAGAATTTTGTATGCCTTTGTGTGTTTCAGTGTGGAATAAACTGATTAAATCTTTAAATTAAAATCTGAAAAGAAAGGTATTATCATTGTTGTAATTTAGTATAGAATTGAATATTATTTTATTATTATTATTATTATTATTATTTTGTCTCCCAGGCTGTAGTGCAGTGGTATGATCTTGGCTCACTGCAACCTCCGCCTCCTGGGTTCAAGCGATTCTCCTGCCTCAGCCTCCTGAGTAGCTGGGATTATAGGCAACTAGCACCACGTGCAGCTAATTTATATATATATATATATATATATATATATATTTTTTTTTTAGTAGAGATGGGATTTTGCCATATTGGCCAGGCTGGTCTTGAACTCCTGACCTTAAGTGATCCACCCACCTTGGTCTCCCAAAGTGCTGGGATTACAGGCATGAGCCTCTGCACCCAGCCTGGAGTATTATTTTTAAAGAGCTTCAGGTATTATTTAAGAATCCTATGCAATTTGCTGTCTTCTTTCAATCTCCAGTGGCAATTTCTGAACATACCTTTTGTTCCGCTGTCATGGTTAGACTTTGCAATCGGCCAGTCATATTCCCTAAGCTCTTTTCAAAAGCTGCTACAAGGTGTGCCTGTGAACAGAATGGAAGAAACATAGTTTAAATGTCAGAATCTTTGTGGATGGAAGAAAAACCTTCATTTTACAAAACGCTTAATTTCATGTGTTCCAACTCTTTAAATACTATGACTATCACAGTTAGCTCTGACTGGTGACTCTTCTTTAACACACATTGTCATTCATCTTTTCTAAACTTTGTCTTCCTAAAATCAGTGTTTCAGTCTCCTGGCATTTAATGTGAGTTTCACTTCTGAAAGAAGATGGTATTTTGCAAGTAATAACTCCTTCTGACTTGCACATCATGTAGAGAGTTGACACTCAAAATGCCAAATATAAAGTTCTGATCTGCCAAGTTTTTTAGACTTAAAGCCCAAAAAGAGGTCACTGAAATGGTCAACGGACAAATGTTCCTCATTGTTATATCTTCATGATGACCTTTGCAGATATTGTTAGCTGCTCTACTGTAATGATACACTCCTTAAAGTGTCAGACACCTGCTGACAGCTAGAACCTTATCTTTACTCTTTTCTACTTACAAAGAATTGAATCAAAAAGAGTTGTCTTTACTTTCCAAACTCTTTTCAATAAAAGGGCTTTTCTACTTCATATTCCCTTCAATGAACGAAATACAGATAAGCCAGTTAGAAAAAATATTCCATCATATTTTATTTAACAGTAAGCTTTTGTGGCTTTTGGGTTTTATTTTAAATTTCAGAGAATTATATTATTGTAGTACATAACTATAACTCTTATGATTAAGAAGTATTGGACAATCTTATTAAAGCTCAAAAATAGGCCAGCTTCCATTTGCATGCCCTTATGTAACAACTTGAACCCAAAATATTAAAATGAATGGGCACTTCAGTCTCTCACCATGGCTTGAGGTAGAACTACAGGTACATTATCTCAAACTGATAAAATTGTATTGTGTCCCTAAAGGATATAAGGATTTAATATTTTGCAACCTAAGTCTATAATAAATTATACCTACATATGGGGCAAAGTTTGGAAATCCTTGGTCAAAAATTAATTTCTTTTTGAAAGACATGAATAAGATGACTTAAATAAAATATATCTCCATGTACTTATAGCAGAATTGAAATGCTGAGGCTCCTACAATCAAATGGATCACAAAAATCCAAAGAATTGAGGCTCATTACTTAACAATGGAAATATATTCCATTATTGATAACAGTTAGAATGTACATGTTCCTTCCATCAGCATTATGATACAAAGGTGCATGTTCCTAGCTCTGAATTCATCCTGGGATGCCTTTCTTTACCTGACACTGCAATATGGAGAAAAACAATTAGTAGGGAATACATCTACTAAAGTTTAATCTATCAGAACAACTCTTTATTACCTTTTTCCACTCATTCCCCCTTCCTTCTTTTTCTCCTCCCTGGCTTCTCTCTCTCTCTCTCTCTCTCTCTCACACACACACACGCACACACACACTCTCTCTCTCCCCACACACCCTTACCCTTGAGAATTATACACCAAAATTTGTTAGCAGATTTAATTGGAAAAATACCACTAAAAAAACCAGTATCTTATAGTTTTAAAAATTTTCAATGACAAAAAAGGAATGTGAGGATATCGGACCTAGTAACTGAAAAATTAGCATATGGCTATGCTCATTTTTTTCCTATATATTAACTTTTAATTATTTATTTTATTCTTTTACTCAGTGTCTTGCTGCCACCCAGGCTGAAGTGCAGTGCCACAACCCTAGCTCACTGCAGGCTTAAACTCCTGGGCTAAAGTGATCCTCTTGCCTCAGCCTCCCAAGTAGCAAGAATTATAGGCATGTACTAACATGCCCCGTTACTTTTTTTCTTTTTTTTTTTATTTTTATTTTCTGTAGAGATAGTGCCTCACTCTGTTGCCTGGGCTACTCTCCAACTCCTCGCTTCAAGTGATTCTTCCCACTTTGGCTCTGCAAAGTGCTGGCTGGGATTATAGGTGTGAGCCACCACACCTGAACTTTACCTTTTCAACTGTGGAAAAATCCACACATATATAAAAGGGAACAAAATGAAAACAGCCACTGACTCATCACATAGTGAACATTCATGCATTCACCAGCCAAGTCAAGAATACGACATTTCAAGAACCAAAAAGCCCTTCTTTGCCCCTATCTTATCATTATTCCATCTTCCTTCCCCAAAGATACCCTCTACATAACTTCTGTGGTAATTATTTTCTTGCTTTTCTTTATAGCTTTTACTACCCAAGCTTGCATTTTTAAACACTATGTTTAGATATGCCTATTTTAAAAACTACTCAAGTGTAATCATATGGCAAGATTCTTTTGTGGTTTTCTTTTGCTTTACATGGGTTTTGAGATTCATCCATGTGGTATTTAGCATAAGTTAGTTTTTATCATATAGCATTCATATGTGAATTTATAATATATATGCCCATGATGGACATTTCAGTTTAACCTGTTAGAAATAATCCCACTATGTCCATAAAATTGTTTACTAAAACCTAAAATTAAAATCGTGTCTTTTCTTTTAAAATAAGGAAAATTATGACAGAAACACTTTATTAGCACTTAGTAAATGAAATGTAAGATTTTACTCAATATTTCAGTTTTAATTCTCCTATAGTGGAGAAATTTAATGTTTAATCCTTGTACTATGAGTTCTTAAATGTGTAAACTTGAAGAAAATTACTCTCTTTTACCCTTTGTGCATGCTTTATCAGTTTCATATTAATTAAAATATGACAAAGAAATCGGGATTATAAAGAATATGCTGTATAAACTATATTACCTACATTTTGTAGCTATAAGCAACCAGAAAATATTTATGATTAGAATGACAGTTTGTAAGTATGCACAAAACACTTATAACTGGTTACTAAGAACATTTTGAGTCGTGTTGTTTTCAATGAAAAGTATGTTACATTATGTTAGTGAAAAACACCTACAACCGTCTGATCGTGACAAACCTGAAAAAAAACAAGCAATGGGGAAACCTGAAAAAACAATTAATAAATGGTGCTGGTAGAACTGACTAGCCCTATACAGAAAATTGAAACTGGACCACTTCCTTATACTTTATACAAAAATTAACTCAAGATGGATTAAAGACTTACATGTAAAATCCAAAAACTATAAAAACCCTAGAACAAAATCTAGGCAATATTATTCAAGACATAGGTAAGGGCAAAGATTTTATGATAAAAACTCCAAAAGCAATTGTGACAAAAGCAAAAATTGACAAATAGGATCTAATTAAACTAAAGACCTTTTGCATAGCAAAAGAAACTATCATCAGAGAGAACAGACAATCTGCAGAATGGGAGAACATTTGTGGAATCTACCCATTTGACAAAGGTATAACATCCAGAGTCTACAAGGAACTCAAATAAATTCACAAGTAAAAAACAAACTACCCCGTGAAAAAGTGGGCAAAGACATGAAGAGACAGGACATGAATAGACACTTAAAAAAAGACAGTCATGCAGCCAACAAACATACAAAAAAAGCGTAACAGCAAAACCACAATGAGATACCATCTCACAGCAGTCAGAATGGTGATTATTAAAGTCAAGAAATAACAGGTGCTGCAGAGGTTTCAGAGAAAAAGGAATGCTTTTACACTGTTGGTGGGAGTGTAAATTAGTTCAACCAATGTGGAAGACAGTGTGGTGATTCCTCAAAGCTCTAGAAGCAGAAATTGACCCAGCAATCGCATTAGTGGGTATATACCCAAAGGAATATAAATAATTCTATTATAGAGATACCTGCATGCATTATGTTCACTGCAGCACTATTCACAATGGCAAAGGCATGTAATCAACCCAAATGCCCATCAATGATAAACTGGGTAAAGAAAATGTGGTACATATACACCATGGAACACTATGCAGCCATAAAATGGAATGAGGTCATGTCCTTTGGAGGGACATGGATGGACCTGGAAGCCATTATCCTCAGCAAACTAATACAGGAAGAGAAAACCAAACACCACTTGTTCTCACTTATAAGTGAGAGTCAAACAACGAGAACACATGGGCACATGGTAGGGAATAACGCACACTAAGGCCTGTCAGTGGGAGTTAGGGGAGGGAGAGCATCAGGAAGAACAGCTAATGGATGGTGGGCTTAATATCTAGGCGATGAGTTGATCTGTGCAGCAAATCACTATAGCATATATTGACCCATGTAACAAACTTGCATATCCTGCCCATGTACGCCAGAATTTAAAAGTTGAAGAAAAAAAATATTGTCTTAAACTTATGTCACCTTGGTTTAGTTTATCAGATTAACATTGTTACTTTAGAAGTTATGAGAGGCTAAATTTCTCACTAAATAGGGTAAATGGAAAAGGAGGCAAATAAGGGAAAATTTTTCTACTAATGATGATCTTTATCACCTTAATGAAGAGAAAATGGAAAGTAAAACTGATTAAACTTACAGGGTAACACATCTTGTCTGACAGACTTTATAAAATGACTTTTAAAAAATATGGATTTTCAGGGAGGTTGTTAATGACAGTTTTACTTGGTTCTGATTTTTCCTTTAGCAGTTGCATAATTTTTAGGTCAGAGTAAAATTGTATTAATATGATGATCAATATCCCCTGACTTGTGTTAGGTGAAGTCTATAAAGGTAGACAAGATGGAACATCATTTCAATCTATATTGTCTTTGGTTTTGGAATCATACAATGTATTAGGTTGGTGCAAAAGTAATCTGAATAGATATGTAAAGATAATTACTATGATGCTAAACAATAAGATGAAATATCATTATACATAATGTCTACATTTTATTTCTTCATATAGAATTCAGAGACAGCCCACTGACAAACTAAAAACACTCTAGGCATATATTTATATATATTATATAGTAATATATATGCTATAGATTATATAGTAATACATAAATATATAGGTGCATATATAGGCATATATGTATTCCTAGAGTATATATATTATATAGTATTTTATATATGTATATTATGAAGGCATATATATATGTACACACATATATATGCC